AATGAAATGAACCTGGCAAATAAGAAAATTGACAAGCGCACATACACACTCACGCTCTCTCTCTCTCTCCCACTTGCTCTCTCTTTCTCTGAAAAATCCATACACAAGAATTTTCATATCATTTTTCTACTGCTGCTGCTGCTGCTACTGTTGTTGTTGTTGAACGACGAGTATGATCGTCGACGTTCGCCGCTTGCTTGAATTGCTCTTGTTTTTCTTCTGTTATTTTTTCCGTCGGCTTTTTCAAATTTTTTTTTCTGCTTCGAGTGCAATGTATCACGTGCAGCGCGTGGATGTTTGATGGATACGAGCAAGTAATCTTGATGGCATCTTCTGTTTATTTTCAATCTTAAAAATTCGTGACTCGTTGCCTTTTTCTTTCACTTGTCTCTCTGCCATTGAGCGTTTTGCACACATTTTCCATCGCAACACAAACATAACGAAGACAATGACCAAAACCAACAAACGAAATTGTGAAATATTCGCTTCTTTCTTCTTGCCATTTTCCAACATTCAAATATGTACACACCAAACACATTGGAAGCCACTCGGAACAGAAGCAACGCGAAGACGAACGAATGGGAAAAGAATAAACAGATAAAGACGACACGAATGTTATTGATGAAAACGATGTTTGCACACCCGGAAAATCAAATCGATTTCATATTTTATCGATGTTTTCATCAGTTCGTTGTCATTATGCGAGCCTTGAAAAAAGGAATTCATTTTCATTTCAACATGCAATACGACCATTGGAATGGATCCATTTTAATTTTTTTTTTCGATGGAAATGTCTAAATTTATCGCATGAAATCGGTTTTTCTTCGTGAATATTTCGTACCTACTGCAGTCAGTAATTTCATAATTTAGTTCTTTTCTTTCGAGTGGCTGACAATTTCAGCCTGAAAAAATCGTAATAAAAATGACACAACCCAAGAAAGTCCTTGTGAACGCTACACATTTTTCTGCAGTTTTGCTAGTATTCCAGGCGTTTATAACATGCATAAAATTTAAATATGTATGCATGCGGTGGAATTTGTGAAAAATTTCTTAATAAAGTCGCTTTGTGCAGGTCACTTGTAATATACAGATATCCGTTCTTCGTTTGCGCTAAACATTCTTCAAAGGGAAAGCGGCAGCTCAACGAAAGAACTTGAAGTACGTTGAGTGTCTGCAAAGTGAAATTGCGATAAGGTCGTCTCACTGTGTGCGAGTGAGTTGGTTGTGCCTCTGAAAATAGACTTCATTTTATATTTGGCCATAAAATGAATGCGATTTTGATGTTATTATGTGATTCAAGTGTACACGCTCTCCTCACACCCGCATACGCGCTCGTCGAAAATAATTGGGTTTAAGCGCAAAACGTGAAATCTGCATTATACCCACTATTTTACGAATGAAAATTAACTTCATTCGTTTATTGCTATTTGCGCATATAAAAAAGTGTTTCCATTTTTATGGCTCTCACGGATTGTGTGTTTAATTGAAGGCATTTTGGCTGGGCAATGGAAAATCTCTTGCTTGCGTTTTAAATGATGACATTACTTTGAAGCCACCGTAAAAGTCCGTTGTCCAATTCAATGGAATAATGTTTTGTGCATTAAAATCGAACAAAAAAAGTTGGATTTATTGATGCAATTGATTGAGCACAAAAAAAACAACTTTGTCCATTTCATCACACACACACACACACACACACCGATCTAATGGAATTTGCCTTCGTATGCTGCATCCCAGCACACCGAAGATAAACGGTTCGTCATCAACTTTGGCCAAATAGCCAGCTCTACTTAATCGGCTCTATTCATCACAGCCCAATTGTTTGGAAACTGTTTTACTTTTTATTCATGTTTCGCTATGAATTTGCACACATGTCACCCATACAACGAATAAATAGATTCTATAAATAATCAATTAAAATGATGCAAATCATTTAGCGATTACATTTGCGGTGCAAATCACTCAAACCAAACGATGATGCAGTCTATCGTGTAAGCGCATCGAGAGAAATGTTGTGTATAACGAGTAGCACATTATGTGGATATGTGGCATGTGTGTGGTTTGGTTTTGTTTACATATCAACGACGGATATATTTAGAAGTCAATGGTGAAAATGGATTGAGCCGCATCTCGTGTGTATCCACACATATCATCGGTGTGTGAAAACAGAATGTGCCGACAATGTGGAGCAGTACAAAGTGTGAATGATTGACCTAGTCACATGGGCCGTACACGCATAGCATACATTTATAATTTTCGTGCAAAGTGATTGCACCAAAGTGCGTGCTACCAATGTACACAGCATATCAGCTGTGAGTGTGAGAGGCGGAATGAACGAAGTGGCGTCGATGACGACGACGACGACGATGGTGATGATGACGACGACGATGGTGGGTTTAGTGATAGCAAGCGTAGCGATAACTGAGTGTGTGCACAAATGCATGGAAACATTGTATCATTAATAACATTATCGGAGGCGCTCAATGCTTCTTCTCGTCTTTTTTTTTCGAAGGAAAAAAAGGGGGAGAGATTTTGAAATGTGGAAAACATGCTATATCTCTTCACACACATATTCCAGTTCAGAATGTATGCAATCATCGTTATTGTTGTTATGTCAGTGATAACACTCTCGATTGCTTGCAGGCCGCGAGAATGTGTGCGACACACTTGTGTTCATCCATACAAATAATTCACACTTCAGTCCATCCAGATGATGAGCGGATTAGGCAAGATTGTATGATTAATAAACAGCGTTCTACTGCTGCAGCTGATATATAGGCACACACCAAGTGACTTTGTTTCATCAAAAATGCTTATGCTCCGCGAAAATTGGTCGCACGCTGAAGAAATCACGAAGCAATTCATGTAAATAGAAGGTGTATTTCCGCATTGAAATTGCAAACAAAAGGGCGCAAATTCATCCAAAAAAATCTACCTGCAAAGCGACAAATCCAGCGCCATCATACAAAGTTTTGCCAAAAAGGTAGAATCGGCATCAATTAGCTCGTGAACGGTTTTAACAATGAAAATCGAAATGATTTTGCTTTCATTTCTTTACCTATTTTACACGCTCATACTCATTCCATGACGTAATAACGAGCGTCTCGAGACATGTCAACGACGACGATGGCAACAACAACAACAACAACAACCTAAAACTTAAGACTCAACACACATTTTCAGCGTATAACACGCGCGCGCCCTGCTCTATTTTTGTGTACGACATACGCCAAAATTACATATTATATTTGGTGTTTTATGCCGATGAAATGGATGTGTAATGGTTTGTGCCCACGAAACAGCCTGTTGTACTCTATCTCTGAGTCGTCGAGTGCGGTGTCGATTGTGCGAAGCAGTGTCTTGTCTTGTTGTATTCATGAAATTTTTGTTCCTTCCATTTCTCGACAAAAGCGAACAGATACAGCGAAACTAAGAGGGCGCCGAGGCACATCGTTTGGTTGATCCAACGGAAAAATGTGCGTAAACAAAGGCATCTTCCGTATACCGAAAATGGGAAAGTGATACAAATCAAAAAAGGGGTTGGCATTTCTTATATATTGTAATGGCAATTCAACGCGAGACACCAGACACAGACCAAGTTTATTGTTCAACATAAGACGTTGTGATATGTTTCTTTGATGCTTCTTTTGTATGCTCTTTGTATGGTGTGACTACCATTGCCAGCCAAAAAGGGATCTTGCACGCGGAAAGAATAGAGAAAAACGAGAACATGAAACGCGCACATATTGGACGATTGAATGCCACCATTGAGTGTATACTAGACACACAGTCGAACATCACATCTTCATCCGTCTAGAATAGACTGTGTATTGTACGGTTTACGCGCGGCTGACTACATTATGATAAATGCATCTGAGTTTTGAGAGCACGTCGTACACATAGACAGACAGATAGAGAGAGAGAGAGCAAAACTGTATGAAAGGTGGCTGCTGTACGATATAGATATAGTCTTCCACTTCCTCTTCCTCATTCCGTGTATACGATGGATGTTATCATTTTCATGTGCATTATGACTCGGGAAATGAGTTGGCATCATTTTGGGACTTGGGGTTCGTTTTCGTTTCACATTCGATTTCCATCGTCTTTGCCACTCACTTTCTCGACGACAACGACGAAGATGGAGACTACGATGACGACAACAACAACAACAATGAAGACGATGACGACGGGTCGGAGCATAACGTGCTGGAGTTTCGACATGGGCTTTTATGCGTGTGCTCCATTTTGGCAAAAGGTTGCCGTTTTTATTATCATCAATGATTTTATGTGGTCTTTGGGGGTTTGCCAATTGTTTACATGATAAGAAATATACACACATTTTGGCTTGACATAAAGGTTACCACACACACACACACACACCCAGCATAATATCGTCTATATTGCGTTAGGTCAATGCCTTTTCTACAACATTATTATGACGAATTTTTTGGCGCATTTTTCGACCAGTCAAAACAAAACCCGACACATTTTTGTTTTGTAAACAAACCATCTCAATTCGGTGGAATCGATTTTATTTACAATGAAAATATAAGTAGTACTGTGTATACAGTAATTATATTCGTATTGATTTGCTAAGATTACGCATTTGGTTTCAACTTGAATATTTAAAATAAATTTTCGAGCGAATTTTACTTTTGAATCGACAAATTATTCCAAAGTTTCCCATTGCAAGCACATTCGATGAGAATGGGAGACAAATACCGTGGCTACACATGCAGCAAAGACCAAAACCAAACGGATAACGAAAGCTTTTGCACACAAGTTGCGTTGTCTGCTGCATGATGGCGCTGTGTATGTCCCATCGAAACGAACCAAACGATACACAAGCTTATATTCAAACTTGTGCTGTTTATTTTCTTAGTGACGAATTTCCAATGAGAATGTATACCTAATATCAAAGAACTGACTTCTTTTTTTTTGCTGAATATTAGTCTATTGCTCCAATTACTAAATCGCGTTTTTTCTACATTTATTTCCAGATTTACGGCGCTGACGGATCATTGTTACGCGCTGAATCAAGACGTGGTCGTGGAAAAGGACGAGGCGGTGGAGCTGTAAGTATAATCCACAACAAAACTAATTTGAATACGAAAGATTCTAGCAAATAAATGCACTCTCAACAAATTGTTGATTGTAAAACTGCAAAAAAGAAAAGCAAACAACAACAAAAAATCGTTCAATTTCCAAGGCAGAAATTTGACTTGCAAATCACATAAAATAGCAAAGGGTATCGCACACACACAGAAAAAAAACGAGTACAATTTACTCGTGGTCTTTTTGCTCTCTCCTTCTCTGACGATAAATATGTTGAAAGAAAATTGTTATAAAAGATAATTAAAGAGATATAATAATCTCATGGCAGTTTTTTGCTCTCTCTCTCTCTGCGTTCTTTGAGGCCTTTAGTAAGTGGTAGGAATTAAAAAACATTAACTACTTTTACTAGATGCAAAGAAAAATCGCAACCAAAACAACCAAGTAAATACATGCTCACGAATTTTTCATGAAACCTTGCAAAGCCTAATAATAGTCGTTAAAATAAAATAAACTAAAAATAAGAAGAAAATAAAGAAACACGAGCAACAACAACAAAGATCTGTGTTACTATAATAATGTACGGGAGAAGAGGGAAAAAAAATAAACGAATGGAAAAACACAGCAACAACAAGACGATGCATTCGATGAAGCGCATTCGAAAATTGTTCATATGGAAGCATTTGCCAAGTAACAGCTTGAACGGCTGAGAGTAGAAAAGAGACAAAAAAAAACAAACAAACAACGTAACAGAAAACACAAAATCCACGTACACGGATCGCCACAGATTTCAATCTTAATTAAAATATTTTGCTGATGCTGATGCTGTTGTCCGTTGTTGTGTCTTTCACATTCACCGTTCTTTCTTCTTCTTTTTTTCCGCTTCTCTAGTCTGCTGTTTGCTAGGCAAAATGCCTTGAATTCAACGATTCGTGTGACTTTATCCGAATAAATGAGTCTGTCGTGTATATATGTGTGTAGATGCAATGTGAAGAGAGAGAGAGAGACAAATAAAACGGCAACAACCGACAAAAAAAAATAGACAAACACGAAACGAACGATGCTTCATTATACATATATTGGAGTAGATAGTGTGAACGTACGGCCACTTTTAGCTATTTGTTTGTCCGCGGGCCTAATTTGCCACTGCCCCGGAAATGGACACCACATTTGATATAAAGACGATGAGGTAATGAGAAACAAAGCAGAAACTCATCAACGCAAATACAAACAATTTCTGGTATGCCGTCGAAGAAAAATAAAAATGAAGAAAATCAATGCAACATGAGAATGAGCGTAAAACCTGAAATTTCATCAGCATCAAATATCTTATTAGCTGATTGACCATTAAAATGCAACAATTGAAATATATTATCGATGCAGACATGCCAATTTTCGATATTGCTTGCCTTAATTCTAAGTCTTTAACTGCTCAATGTGATGTAACTGCAATCATAATATCGCATCTCTCTGTTCGATTTCAATGGAACTTTTCACAGCGCTTTCAATGCGCATCCAAGTGGTTTTGATCTCGACTGAAGCTCTCCAGCAACCATAAACACACCGTGTACAAACGCACAGCTTTACTCTTGCCCGTGTCGGAAAGAAATCGCAAACAAAAAAGTCAATTTTCTTCCATGATGCACTTGATCCAGGATATTTCACACGAATCTCAGTACATTTTTCTTACTTCATCCAAATCCGTGTGTTTCGTGTGCACGGTGGCATTTGAAATATTAATTAAATCGGTGAATTTAAAAATGTGAGCTACAAAACATACGGAACGATTTCATGTTGCAGCACCCAAAGAAGAAAAAAGACGAAATAAAATTTCATAGATGAAGTGGAACCATTGTAGCTCCACACACATACACACACAGCATGCAAATGCACGTTTATTCGTTGCAGACACATAATTTCTTGCAATGTATGCACAGCAAGCATTCATCAAACTGTTTTAGTCTTTCTTCGTTCGCTCAATTTTTATTCCTTAAACTTCTTGAGCGGTTTTTTTCTGCGGAGTGTGTGTGTGTGTGTGTGTATGCCGTTTTTTTCTCTTTACTTCTCTCGATTTTGCTAGCTCCTCATCGTCGTCGCCCCGAACGCATATGTGTGTACATAAGCGCGAGTGTATGTATTTTGTTGTGATTCGTTTATATTACTTTTTCTTCTCTGCGCTCTTGGTTGGTTCGTTCGTGCTTTATTTTTTTTTTTTTTTGCTTCGTTCGTTCATTATTAATTTTATTTTATTTCTTCGTTCGTTCGTTTTGCTCTCTGATATTATTTCTGCCGTAATATGTGAACCAATGCTGCAGCCAGTTGTATTGTTGTTGGTGCTGTTGTTGTGGTCGCATGTATCTTGTATTCATTTCATCTAGACTATCATTAAAATAATAATAATAATAACAATAAATGTTTCGTAGGTCCCTGTGCGCGCTCACTCTTTTTCGATCTCTCTCTCTCTCTCTCTCTCTCTCTCTCTTTCTCACTCTTTTCCTTCATATTCTCGCCATCCCGCTACCGCGCGAACTTCATGGTTTGTTTGTTTTTTGTCTTCTTCTTCTGTTGCTCATTAGACTTTCTGACAATCAATAAGGATTTTCGCTAGAAATGCGACCTTTGTGACTTGGAAATATAATTAGTTTTCGATATATCTAAAAATTGAACAGCCCAGCCCAGCTCCCGCCACGCACTCCAACCGCAGAGTTGAACGGTCATGCATGGAGCGAATTTTGGTGTATTTTTTTTTTCAACGAAATGAATATATTGCGATGAAACGAAATATGGGTGCGAGCGTATGGGCTCAAGAATAAGTGTGTGTGTGTGTGTGTGTGTGAGAGACCAGGGTCTTGGGCTCCGGTCTCAACCGTGCTGATTTATGCAATATTTGTGAATTACATACCAAACGTTTTCATTCTTCTCTCTCATATGATTAATGTGTGTACGTGTATATAATAAATACAATAAATACGTAATTATATAATGTACTTGTAATTTGTGTGCACATAATTTCTTATTTTGCTTATTTTCCTTCGTTCGTTACATTCGTTGTCTCGCTCTCATGTGTTTGTGTCTCTTGTTCGTAGTGCTTCTCTTCGGCTGCAGCTTGATCGCTACACAAAATCTCGTGGTAAAATTGTAAATTATTGGTTCCCTTTCTCTTTCTATCTCTTTCTCTCTCTGTCCATTCTGTGCTGTTGGCTTCATTTCTTTCGTATATTTCGATTCGCTCATTTTAATATTACTTAGTTGTTATCATTGTCTTGGTCGTTCAGCGTCATTTCCCTCGAAATTTCGATTTCATCGTTTCCTTAATACAAACAATTTTCATTTTCTGTGCAACGAATAATTTATTCTTCCTTTTTTCACTCTCTCTCTCTCTCTCTCTCTCTCTCTCTCTCTCTCTCTCTCTCCCGCTCTTTCTCTTTCCATTCGCTGCGCTATTCACTCGGTCGCTCGCCAGAATCAAACTATGTAATTAAAGCAGTCGCGTTTGTTCTTTATGTTCTCAAGTTCCTAGATCTATCTCGTCCGCATGCAGCTCCAATGTGCAATTTGATTTTGATGAACATGAACACACACACACATCCCATTTTATCAATTTCACTTTAAAAACCCATGGAAATGAGTAAGGCAAAATAAATGAAGAGACGAAAAAAACAATACTAAACACTGGTGAAGTTTAGTTTACGTCAATTTTGAGCAAAAAAACTATTATTCATCGGATAAGTTTTCATATGGGAACACTGAAACTTCCATTAAATTCAAGCGTTTCCACCATTTTTTTGTCTACCTTTTTTCATTTTGCATGCTTCAGCCGATGAATAATTATGCTTCGACCAGATAATATATATCAGTTGATTGTTTTGATTCATTGGAAAAAAAGAGCTGCTTAGATATATTTAAACGAACAGAACGAAAAAAAAGCAACAACAACAACAACAACATGGACAGTAGATGAATCGTTTTATCGATTCTTCATTACGGGGTCTATTGTGTTGAGTCGGTGCGCGCAACACACAAGACACCAATTCGGCTGAATGATTTGTCGGCTCATTGGTTTGGCCGATTTCATCGAATACGATACAATCCAAGCTTCGCTTCTAAACTCTCATTCTCTCTCTATCTCTCTTTCATCTCTTTCGTTGCCATTACATGCTAATGAAATTTTTCTTCTTGCCTGAAATCAGAAGCCAACACACACACACATACAACTAATACATTGCTGTACAACACAAGCAATAAATCGATTCAATTTAGTAGGACGCGAAATTTATGTGATCATAGCGAATACCGTTCCAAATAAGATTTTAAAAGGGTCGCAACGAACGACAACGAACCAACGAATGATAACGTAAAGTTGATTTTCTAACCCAGTGCACGCTGTGTATGTCACTTTGCGAGAGAGAAAAAATACACATATATATCTATAACAACAACTACAGCAACGAAGATACAAAGCCATTGCAAAGGAAGTTGAAGCTCACGGCGGAAAAGTGAGTCGCATTTTGTGGGAGATGACAGTATAAGCAAAATAATAAGCTTCCAAATGAAGAAAAAGGAAGAAAAAAAAACTAAGACACTTGAAAACAGGAATAAAAACTGAAACACTCGAGCAAAGACGAAGACGAGGGAAAAAAATGCAGTACACCTCGTCATATGGCGTGGAAAATGAAAAGACAAAATAGAATTACACGTACAGCAAGTTTTAAAATTACGAATTTCCCAAGCGAATTAGAGAGACAGAGAAACAAGACACATAGCTTTTGCCGAAGGTGGTTGATGGCGTAGTGTAAAGTAGCAAAATGCTGTGGTTTTTTGTGCATCTAATGCTCCATGAATTTCATTAGGTGTTGTATGTCTCCGTGGTGAACAGTGCAAGCGTACGTTTTTGTCTCTCACTCTCTCACTCTCTCTATCTGCTCCGTTGCGAACCGAACGAAAATTGCGAACTTCAAGTGCAAAATTAATAAATTACACTGATAATTAATTTTTATCTACGTGCCTCTATAGAGCCAGTCGC